ACATCAACTCTGAGCACAGCCTGTTGAGGATTAAAGGCATGCGTGACTCCTCCACCAACCAAGGCTGCTCCTGAAATCATAAATTCTCTGCAAGCACAACTACAGCCCCTCACGATTCCCCTGATGTTTGGAATCTGACAACAATGAGGAGGTGCTGGCTCGGGAACCTTAGCCATGGAGGCACACCTGGTACAAAACCAAAGTCCACTAATATCACTGGACATTGTCACGTTCTGAACAGGGATGCCGATCAGATTCACTGCCTAATGGGCATAGGCGGACTCATACAGCCAGCCTGACTCTGACTTCCAACATCGAAGCCCTCTGTTGGGGGCTCCAACAAGCATTTCCTGGGGTGACAAGGACACCTGAGAACCATGGGTGTTTTGCCTGTTAGACAACTGAGAAGACCCCTCTGCCAAGAGGCATGCACATGGTCGTCCATGGGCCTTGAATGTATCACCCCCAGGGAGCTTCACCGGAGTAATCACTGCAACAATGGGCCCATCACACAGCTACCTTGACCAAATCCCGATCCTCATGCCTCCAATGCAGGACCCCGACAAAACCATAATACTTACAGTGGACCCATCAATTCCCAGTCATCCAAGCGCCTACAAGGAGCACAAACAATAACAAATCACACCCACCTTTTCTCCTTCAACTGCCAGCCAGGTAACCTTTCAACTCATCCCTGTCATGCTATCCCTGTCCACTCCCTAAGGGAATAAATAGGCTTCTGACCACCTACACAGGGAATGGAACACTGACAACACCACCAACACCCAGAATCAACCGTCTCCCAAGCCAATGGCTACTCCACTGTGGTGCACCTGGGGCAGCGCACACCTATCCTTCCTCAAGGCAAATAGGACTGCAGAGCGGGATCACAGGAGAATACGCCCAGCACTGATGTGGAACTTTCCTTTCTGACACTTACAAGAAGGAAGCTTCCCAGGAAAGGGATGAAGGATCCACATAAAGATTGGCTATCTTTACATGTCCTCAAGTGGGTCTACATGTCCTCAAGTGGGACCCCATGGGACCTGTTCTCCTATGAGGAAGACAACCTAGGAGATGTAGTCAGCCAGGAAAAGGCTAGGTCAGCTAGACACCAGCCTGAGGACCCTGCAGCAGGAGCAATCACAGGAATAGCCCTTGGATGACTTTGTTGGCAATGTCTACCATGCCAAAAATTACACCCGCAACTGGAGACTGGCTCAGGAATATCTGGGAAGTCTTCTATACCCACCCCCAATGTGTATGTCCACATGAGGACACCACATGTCTCCTCTCTCTGGTCATACCTGGTGTGACCTACAGAGGGTTGCCCATTTTCTATATCCAATCCCTATAACCTATGACCCTAATCCATCCAAGGAAAAACAGAAAACAACATAACAATCACAAAGTCCTGGTCTATATTCCTATCCCTGAAATTAGAGGACATGCTACATAATGGGCATAAGCAGAGCAAATGCTGTCTGCACATGAACCCATAGACATATTCCTCTCTTTCCTAAGGGGTAAACTACCAAGATGTTAGAAATGGTTTCATGGAAACCTATTAATGCTGAAACTGCTTCAGCACGTGAGGGAAAAACTGTCACTCTTCACCACAAAGTATTCTCACCACAGGAAACCTGCCAAAAGTCTACTCTACCCAGAGAACAGGAACATGAATCAATGGAACATAGTTTTCTTCCTCATGTGATACTTGCCTCCAGCCAGTGCCCCTCAGGAAAGCCCATACCACCAAGAACAACTACATGTGACAACCAGAGCCTGGGAAGAACACATTATCACTGATGACCTAGCCCACAGATGCAACGTGGCAACCAAAACCAAGTCCTGCATTTCACCTGGGCACATGTGGTCTGTTCACAACTCTTTCAATAAGGACAGGAATGGCGGGAATATGAAAACAACTGTAACCCCCAGAGGTCCCTGGGGAACTGAAACACAGACACCTTCCCTGGGCAGGCTTCCCCAGAGGTTTCACACAGATCCATGGAATGACACCACCCCCCACCTGCCTTGCCAATGGAATAGCATCCAAATATATGGATGATAGACTGCTAGCCACCTAACAACACCTGACCCTCAGCAAGCAATGGGATTAGTGGCCCCTGTGCTTTGGCACTCTAAAACACATGCTACTTCCACCTGGATACATGTGGACACAGCATCCATTCCATTGCCCATCCACATAAACTTTGCATGCCTCACTATATCCCACTACAACTTAATCCCACACCAGAAAGACACACAAATATTATGCAATAGTCTCCACAGTGTGGTGGGAAATTGAAACACCAACAGCATTCACTCTTACCAACCCGCAAGATACATCTCTGGGCACTAGATTGGGGTATCCATGGGCGCTGATAAACCAAGTATGGACACTATCCCACAGCACCTGAAAGAACAGGAAACCAGTGTGCATAGTCTGCTTGTGTCTGCCTCTGGTACTACCCAGAAACCTGAGAAACACTATCCCTCCTGTCCTACAAGGAAGTGAGCCAGTGACTGCCCAGGAAGAGGAATAGGCTAGTGTTCTATTCCTGACCAGAACAAACTGTCTCTCATGACAGCAAGGAACATGACCTCAAGAACCACCCTGGGATCAAAAAGGCAAGGCAAGACTCACTCTTCCTGTGCTGAATGCACACTCACCAACCCCTTAACACGGGAAGGTCAGGGCTTACCTCCTCTCACCGACTCTGCTCTTCTTTCAGGGCCATGTCCTCAACTTGAAATGGAGAACTACCCAGTAACTCCCCATAGCTCTGGCAGCACCGTGTCCCAAGCCCTGATAAACACAATGCAGGAAGACACTTGAATGCATGGAAGCCATCTCTCTCTCTTTCCATCCCTCTCTATCACCCTTCTCTCTCAATCTCTTTGTGTCTCTGCCATATCACGTTGCAAACATGTGCTGGACCTCAGTTCGATGAGGACGACGGTATAGAGTTGTCACTCATTTTGTTCAGCTTTCCAAGGAATGCATATCTGGAAGTCATCATCGATCCATGCACAGTTTTACCACTGGCCAAGAGGCAAATGAGCCTGCTGAGGAACAGGCATGCTTACCTGCCAAAAAATCCAATAGCACACAAAAGATGCCACGACACAGCTGTCCATGAGCTTCCTCCCATATTTGCAGATCCCATAATACAAAGCTCTCACATAAGACCACTGGCATTCCTTCCATTGCAACATCATCTGCAATATAAAGAGGGAACACATGTCCATTTGAGAACATCAGATAGGAACACAGGATCAAAGGGTAGGGACATTAAAGCCCCTGAACTAAAACCTCCCTCAGAGCTTCCTGAACTTCTCCATCTCTTGTGGACATCTGCACGGGAATGCATGGGGCTGCAGCTCCCCATCACATGTCAACAGGGCCTGCATCAGCACTTTCAAGAGCACCGCCAAGGAAAAATCTTCTTGGCACATGGAGGTTGTCACCCCTTACACAAAGCACTACTTTGACCCATCATAAGAGAAAAACTCCAGTGGGATTGTTGCACAGAAGTAGTTTCAAGGAAAACCTCCCCCCTATGCCACAATGGCTGATTTCCTGTGGGCCCAGAAGCATTTGGCAGGGTGGTACCATGCCCTATTGATTACTCAGGATCAATGCTGAAGCACAAATCTACCACACGTTGATGCCTTCCTCACAGGGGAAACTCAGCAACCCACAGATAAGGCACACATATTCAAACTGACTGGGCTTCTCTGCCTAAAGGCCAAGAACATGGTTTAGCCTCTGCACTGTACTCTGCATTCCAACACCACCTTGGAGTCCAGAGTGGATCCATCCCCTGCACCTCTATCCTACCACATGCCGGTGGTTCTGTCACACAGAAGAGTAACAGGACTGAATGGCAAAAGACCCCTCAGAAGGAAGAAGGGAGGTCTGCCCACATAGCGACCCTGCGGGTCTACATGCCACTGAAATTGTCACATGGACACCTGACATGGTAAACTCTCCTGGACCACAACTGCCCTGAGCTGTGTATGCTCTAGGAAGGCAATGGCTCCAGAAATGAAAACATAATCCCCTTAAGATCTAATGGAAAAAGGAAACAAAAATTACTGGCCCGCAATTTACCTGACCTTGGCTGAGAGCAATTCTGGGACTACATTGATACTGCAGGTGTCACCAGCAGTGAAAATTAGCAGTGGGGGTCTGGTAGTGGTACCTTCAAGAAAACGTGGCAATCCGGGGAACTTCACCTCCCCTGTGGACAGGGTATCACATTTCCACCCCTATACCACTCCAACATAGCTTGCCCCACGATATGGGCAACATCCAACGCCCAAAGCAGACACACATCGGTCCCCATGGAGGGCTAGCAAATTGCACACATTGAACTCTGCCCTCCATCCTGCTAGAATAAATAGCTGCCCTGGAATTTGTGTGATCACAGTGCACATGCAAGCAAAACATGGACACCTTCTAATGGATTCCCATTAACAACAAAATTCACTGGCCCCAACCTACCCATCACCACCTGACATGTATTCTACACAATCATCACAGCCACGCCAATATAATTTCCAAAAACAAAGCTAAGACTAAAGACAACTGACCTGTGCCCTTGGGCTCTAAGCTCGACCACAATGAACCATCTTCCACTGAGGCATGAGGGGCTTAAGTGGTACTATTACACTAACCACCCTGTATGCTGAGAGGCAGACTACTGCCTATCCCTGACAATGCCATATGCTCAGTAAAGTACTGCCTACCTCTGACAGTGCCACATGTAAACTCAACTAACCACTGCTGATAGGAAGTGTGTTTCCCCACTCTGCCAGGAAAACAGTCCTAAAACCAGGCTGTCCCATCACTGGGAGGATGCCAAATGCACTGATGATCGCCTTCCCACAACACAGACCACATTAGATGCCCAGAGAGACCCCATGGTGCCACCCACGTGAAAAAGTGGAGGTCATCCCTCCTTCTCCATTCCCTGGTGGAGCCACATGCTGGATCTCATTTCGATGAGGATGACGGTATAGAGTTTTCACCCATTTTGTTCAGATTTCCAAAGAATGTTTCTTTGGAGTCATCATAGATCCATGCACGTTCTGTGCCCTGAGATATTAGGAAATTTATTGTGTAGGGAAAAGAGTCCCTTACTTTCATAATCGCTTGTTCACTTTGCCATGCCATAAGCATTCAGGACTCTGGTATTTCCCATTAGTGTACATCAGCCACTTGGTCTCCACCTGGCCTTTGGTGTTTCTGCTGTGACTCGTCACCTGTTGGAGCAGAGGAAACACATGGCTGCTTCAGAAGGTAGAGAGGTTCACACATCCCAAGGGCCTTAGCGTTTGATCACCCACTGTTTAGGTATATCTCCTATCTATCTCTATTTCCTTGGCTTCCCCAAGTTCATGCGAGGAGAAACATAAACACACTGGCCTTATGCATATCACCTTCCCACCCGTCTCCAGCACATTTTCCCACAAAACACCACTGAGGATTGGACTCCTTGCTTTGGTGTCATCAAGGTCACTCAATATAACCCTGGATGCCTGAGCAGCTGTGCAGGAGGTCTTTGAACTCTGCCTGGATTGGAATAAGCCCAAGACTATTAACACCCACCAACCGAAAAGCTATGGCTTGGGCTGGAAGTCCAAAAGACCATGCTCAGAGAATGCCCCGTACTTCATGCTCACAACACACTCCAGATGACATGGGTACCCAGGTGTGGGGGCCCTCCTCAGGGGCCAGCACAAGGGGGGAAATCAGTAAGACCACCATGACTTGTGTGAGCTATCAGTAAGTCCACCAGCAACTTGATGAAGGAAAACCAACTCTACCTTCCCAATTCCTACCCCTGAGCGTGAATCCCAATGTGGCCTGTGCCTTAACCCTTACACAGTGTCTTCCCCCCTTCCTGGGAGAAAACAAGCCAGGTCTCAGAAATGTTTCCATGGAAACAGGTTATGGCTGACACTGCTTTGGCAAATAAGGGAAACATGTCCTCCTTCACCACAAAGAATTAACACCATGCCAAGCTCACCAAAAGTCTGCTCTACCAAGAGGTTGGAATCATGGGTCAACAGAACTTAGTTTTCTTCCTCGTGTGATAATTGCCTCCACCCAGTGCCCCTCACGAATGACCATACCACCAAGGGTCAACTCCAACTGAATCCCATAGCCTGGGAAGAACATCCATGGCTGTTAACTTTGCCCACAGATGCAGCCTGGCTATCAAAAACATGTCCCATATTTCACTTATGCATGTGTGATCTGCTCCCCACTATTTCACCACGGACACCAATGGCAGGAATGTGAGAACAAACATAACCCCAAGAGGGCCCTGGGGAACTGAAACATGGACACCTTCCCAGGAAGGGCCTCCACACAGGTTCCACCCAGATCCATGAAATGCCATCCTCCTCCCAATGAAATAGCATCCACATGTACGGATGACAGCCAGCCCAACACCTAACAACACACCCTCAGAAACCAGTGGGATTAGTGGTCCCCTTGCTTTGGGACTCTAAAAAACACAATCCTACTTAGATGGCAAGTATTTGCCAGTTCTATACTCAAATTCCATTGGCATGCACGTGGACAAAGAATCTCTTGGACATCCCCACAAACTTCACGAACCTCCCTGGGCCCCACCACAACTCAACCCCATATGGACAGACTTAGTATTTTTACACACCAATCTCCACAGTGTGGTGGGAAGTTGACAAACCCACAGCACATACCATTCCCAACCTGTACGGATGTCAACGGGTACTGGACTCGGGCATCCCTGTGTGCCGAGAAACCAAGTGCGTTCATTATCCCCCAGAACATCACTGGACAGGAAATCAGTGTAGATAGCCTGCTCGTGATAGCCTGCCACTGGTACTGCCTGGTCACCCAAGAAACACTATCCACCCTGCCCTACTGGGAAATGAGTCAATGGGACCGGAGTCCCATCTCCTGTGGACACCTGCACAGAAGTGCATGGGGCTGCAGCTCCCTGTGACATTCCAACAGTGTCTGCATCAGCAACTTCAAGAGGCCAGAGAAAATCTTCTCAGCATACAGAAGCTATCTCTCCTTAACAAAGCCCTCCTCTGACCCATCGCAAGAGAAAAAATTCCAGTGGGATTCTTGCACAGAAATAGTTTCAATGAAAACCTCCATCCTCTGCCACACAACAGCTGATTTCCTGGGTGCCTAGAAGATTTGGGCAGGGCAGTACCATGCCATATTGATCAGTAGGATCAATGCTGAAGTGCAAATCTACCACATCCTTGGTTCCTTCCACACAGGGGAAACTCAGCAACCCACAAAAAGGCACACATGCTCAAACTGACTGGATATATCCGCCCAAAAGCCCAGAACATGGTCCTGCCTAAGCACTGGACTCTGCATCCCACCACCACCTTGGAGTCCAGAGTGGATTCATTCCTAGTACCTCTATCCTACCACGTACTGGCAGTTCTGTCAAACAGAAGAGGAACAGGACTGACTGGCAAAAGTCCCCCAGGAAAAGAAGAAGGGAGGTCTGTTCAAGTAGAGACTTTGTGGGTCCACATACCACTAAAGATGTCACGTAGACACCTGACGTGGTAAACTCTCCTTGACCACAATTGCCCTGAGCTGTGTATGCTCTAGGAAGGTAGTGACCCCAGAAATCAAAACATGATCCTCTCAAAATCTAATGGAAAAAGGAAATAAGAATCACTAGACTGCAATATACCTAACCTTGGCTGGGACCACTTCTGGGCTTACACTAAAACTGCATGTGCCGCCAGCAAAGAAAATTCGTAGTCAGGGTCTGGTAGGGGATCCTTCAGGAAACCGAGGCAACTCAGGAAACTTCGCCTCCCCTGTGGACAGAGTATCACATTTCCACCCCCACACCCTTGCTCCAACGTGGCCTACCCCGCTATATGGGCAACATCCAACACCTAAAGCAGACACTCATTGGTCCCATGGTGGGCTAATAAATTACATACATTGCACTCTGCCCTCCATCCTGCCAAGATAAATAGCTGTCCTGGAATTTGTACAATGATGGTACACATGAGAGCAAAACATGGACACCTTCTGAAGACTCCCATTAACAACAAAATTCACTGTCCCCAACCTCCCCATCACGGCCAGCCACAGATTCTACACAAGCAGCATGGCCATACCAATATCCTCGCACAAGGACAAACCTGAGACAAAGGATGGCTGACCCATGGCCTTGCGCTCTATGATCGACCACAATGACCCATTTTCCACTGAGGCACGAGGGGCTTAAGTGGCACTACTGCAGTAACCACCCTGTATGCTCAGAGGCAGGCTACCACCCAGCCCTGACGGTGCCATATGCTCAGAAGGAAGCCACTACCTACCACATGCACACTAAACTAACCACTACTGAATGGCAGTGTGCTTCCCCACTCTACCAGGACACATTCCTAAGACCAGTCTGTCCCATAATCTGGAAGCTGCCAACTACACTAAAGACTGCCTTCCTACATCATGGACCACATTCAATGCCCAGAGTGACCCCATGGTGTCACCCACGAGAACAAGTGAAAGTCATCTCTCCCTCTCTATTCCCTGGTAAAGCCACATGCTAGACCTCAGTTCGATGAGGATGATGGTATAGAGTTTTCACTCATTTTGTTCAGCTTTCCAAAGAATGTTTCTTTGGAGTCCTCATCGATGACACACACTTTCTACAGACTAGAATATTAGGAAAGTTACTGTGTTGGGGAAAGAGCCCCTTACTATCATGATTCCTTGTTTACTTTGCCATGCTACAGGTGTTCAAGGGCTTCCTGGTATTTCCCATTAGCAGCCATCAGCTACTTGATTTCTACCTGGCCTTTGGTGTTTCTGCTGTGACTTGCCATCTGTCAGGGCAGAGGAAACACAAGACAACTTCAAAAGAGGGACAGGTGCACACATCTCAAGGGCTTTAGAATTTCCTCACCCTCTCTTTAGGTATATCTCTTATCTATCTCTATTTTCTTGGCTTCCTCTAGTTCACATGAGGAGAAACAAATGCACGCCAGTCTTACAGGTATGAGCTCGTACCCTTCTCAAGTTCATTGTCCAACAAAACACCACTGAGGCCTGGACTCCTTGAGTCAGCATCAGCAAAGTTACTCAGTCTACTCCTGGATGCCAGAGCAGCTGAGCAGGAGGCCTTTGACATGTACCTGGATTGGAATAAGACCGAGACTATCACCACCCCACAACTGAATTGCTATGGATTGGGCTGGAAATCCAAAAGACCATGTCCAGACAATGCCGTATACTTCTTGCTCACAATGCACTCCATGTGATATGGCTACCCAGATGTAGGGGCCCTCCTCAGGGGCCAGCCAGCACAAGAAGGAAAATCAGCAAGACCACCATGACATATGTGAGCTGCCACTAAGTACTCCAGAAACTTGATGAGGAAAAATCAACACTACCTTCCCAATTCCTAACCCTGTGCACAAAACCCAATGTGGCCTGTGCCTTAACCCTTACACAGTGTCCTCTCCCCTTCCCCAGGGAGAAACTGGCCAGGTATCAGAAATGTTTCCATGGAAACAGGTCATGGCTAAAATTGCTTCCGTACAAGAGGGAAAAATGTCCCTCTTCACCACAAAGTATTAATACCACGCCAATCTTGCCTAAAGCCTGCTCTACCAAGAGGTCGGGATCATAAGTAAACAAAACTTAGTTTTCTTCCTCCTTTTCCTGGGGAACTTTTGCCAGTCAGTCCTGTTCTTCTGTTTGTATCCTTGGAGGGATACTGCCTCCAGGCAGTGCCCCTCATGAATGCCCATACCACCAAGGACCACCTCCAACTTAAACCCATAGCCTGGGAAGAACACCCATTGCTATCGACCTTTCCCACAGATGCAGCCAGGTGATCAAAAACACGCCCTGGATTTGACATGGGAAAGTGAGATCCACTCCCAACTGTTTCACCAAGGACACCAACAGCAGGAATGTGAAAACAAATGTAACCCCCAAGAGAGCCCTGGGGAACTGAAACGTGAACACCTTCCCAGGACAAGCTTCCCCACAAGTTTCACAGATCCAGGAAATGTCATCCTCCTCCCACCAAAATAGCATCTAAGGGTATGGATGACAGCCAGCCCAACAGCTAACAACAAAATGCCCTCAGGAACCCACAGGATTAGTGGCCCCCTTGCTTTGGGACTCTAAAAAACACAACCCTACTTGGAAGGCAAGTGTTTGCCAATTCTAGGCTTAAATTCCATTGGCATGCATGTGGACACAGCATCACTTGGCCACCCCCACAAACTTCTCATGCTTCCTTGGGGCCCACCATGACCCAACACCTTATGGGCAGACTCAGTATTGCTACACACCAATCTCCACAGTGTGGTGGGAATTTGACACACCCATAGCACACACACCCTTCCCAACCTGCAGAAGACATTGCTGGGTACTGCACATGAGTATCCCCATGCATCAAGAAACCAAATGCATTCAACATCCCCCGGCACCTCACCGGACAGGAAACCAGTGTGGATAGACTGCTTGTGACAACCTGCCACTGGTACTGCCCAGTCACCTGAGAAACACTATCCCTCTTGCCCTACAGGAAATGAGCCAATGACTGCTCACGCATGGCCTAGTGTTCTATTCCTAACCAGAACAAACTGTCTCCCATGGGGGAGCAAGGAGCATGACCCCAAGAACCACCCTGGGCTCAAAGAGGTAAGGTAAGGTTCACTCTTCCCGTGTTGAATGGACACTCACCAACCCCTCACCATGGGAGGTCCAGGGCTCACCTCCTGTCACCAACTCTACTCTTCCTTCTGGGCCATGTCCTCACTTGGAAATGGCAAAATACCCAGTGACTCCCCATTGCTCTGGCAGAACCATGTCACAAGCCCTGACAAACACAGTGCTGGAAGCCATGTGGATGTATAGAAGTCATCCCTCTCTCTTTTTATCCCTCTCTCTCTCCCTTCTGTCACTCTCTCTTTGTGTCTCTGTCATATCACATTGGAAACATGTGTTGGACCTCAGTTCAATGAGGATAAGTGTATAGAGTTGTCAATCATTTTGCTTAGCTTTCCAAGGAATGCATATCTGGAAATCATCATCCATCCATGCAGAGTTTTTGCCACTGGCTAAGAGGCAAATGTGTGTATTGAGGAATAGGCATGCTTACCTTCCCAATAATTCCAACAGCACACAAAAGGCTCCACTACACAGCTGTCCATCAGTTTCTTCCCATGTCTGGGGACCACACTATCTGAAGGTCTCCCATGAGGACCCCTGGCATTTCTTCATTGCAACAGCATCTGCAAAGTAAAGAGGGAACACATATCTGCTTGAGAATATCAGATAGGAACACAGGGTAGGGACATTCAAGCCCGTACACTAAAACCTCCCTCAGAGCTTCCTGAACTTCTCCATCTCCTGTGGACACCCACAAGAGAGTGCATATGGCTACAGCTCCCTGACATATGCCAACAGGGCCTGCATCAGCACTTGCAACAGCACGACCAGGGAAAAATCATCTTGGTACACAGAGGTTGTCACTCCTTACGTATAGCCCTCCTCTGACCCATCACAAGAGAAAAACTCCAGTGGGATTGTTGTGCAGAAATAGTTTCAAGGAAAACCTCTCCCCCTCCTTCACACAATGGCTCATTTCCTGTGGGCCTAGAAGCAATGGGCAGGGTGGTACCATGCCATATTGATCCCACAGGAGCAATGCTGAAGCACAAATCTACTGCCCCCTTGGTGCCTTCCTCATAGGGGAAACTCAGAGACCCACGTAAAAGGCATATATGCTCAAACTGACTGTGCTTCTCTACCTAAAGGCCCAGAACATGGTCCTCCCTTGGGCTGGATTCTGCATTCCATCACCACCTTGGAGTCCAGAGTGGATCCAACCCCAGCACCTCCATCCTATCACACAGTGGCGGTTGTCACACAGAAGAGGAACAGGACTGACTGAGAAAAATCCCCCTTGAAAGGAATGCCCTTAGCTGTGTATGCTCTAGGAAGGCAATGGCCCCAGAAATATGATACATAATCATCTCGAGATCCAATGGACAAAGGAAGCAAGAATCACTGGCCTGCATTGTACCCAACCTTGGCTGGAAGCACTTCTGGGCCTACACTAAGACTGCATATACCACCAGCAAAGAAAATTAGCAATCTGGGTCCGGCAGGGGTACCTTCAAGAAACCAAGGTAATCTGGGGAACATTGCCTCCCCTATGGACAGGGTATCACATTTCCACCCCTGCCCCTTGCTCCGACATGGCTTGCCCCACTTTATGGGGAACATCCAATGCTCAAAGCAGACAGATACTCATTGGTTCCCATGGAGGGCTAGCAAATTCCACACATTGCACTCTGCCTTCCATCCCAGTGAAATAAATAGCTGCCCTGGAATTTGTGTGATCATGGTACACATGTGAGCAAAACATGGACACCTTCTGAAGACTCCTATTAATTAACAACATAATTCACTGACCCCAACCTCCCCATTACTACCAGCCACAGATTCTGCACAATTATTATGGCCACTCCAATATCCTCACCCAAGGACAAACCAGAGACAAACGATGTCTGAGCCATGGCCTTGGGTTCTATGCTTGAACACAGTGACCCATCTTACACTGAGGTATGAAAGGCTTAAGTGACACTACTGCAGTAACCACCCTGTATGCTCAGAGGCAGGCTACCGCCCAACCCTGGTGGTGCAATATGCACAGAGGGAAGCCACTGCCTACCTCTGACAGCGAACCATGTACACTCAACTAAACACTACAGAATGGTAGTGTGCTTCCCCACTCTGCCAGGACACATTCCTAAGACCAGTCCATCCCATCACTGGGAGGCTCCCAAATGCACTGAAGATTGCTTTCCCACAACATGGACCACATCCAATGCCCAGAGTGACCCCATGGTGCTACCCACATGAATCCCTCCTTCTCTATTCCCTGGTGGAGCCACATGATGGACCTCAGTTTGATGAGGATGACGGTATAGAGTTTTCACTCATTTTGTTCAGCTTTCCAAGGAATGTTTCTTTGGAGTCATCATTAATCCATGCAAGCTCTGTGGCCTGGAATATTAGGAAAGTAATTGTGTTGGGGAAACAGCCCCTTAATTTCACAATCACTTGTTTACTTTGCCACGCTGCAGGCATTGAAGGGATCCCTGGTGTTTCCAGTTAGCACACATTAGCCACTTGGTTTCCACCTGGCCTTTGGTATTTCTGCTGTGACTCACCACTTGTCAGGACAGAGGAAACACATGACTACTTCAGAAGGCGGACAGGGGCCCACATCCCAAGGGCCTTAGATTTTCCTCACCCACCCTTTAGGTATATCTCCTGTCTATATCTATTTCCTTGGCTTCCCCCAGTTCACGCCAAGAGAAGTATATGCACACAGGCCTTACGCATATAAGCTTCATCCTAAGAAGCAGAGGTGTTAGGTGTTAGAAACAGGACAAACTGATAAAATTCCGCCTCACATGGAAGAAAGGAGGTCCATCTCCAGCGCATTGTCCTACAAAACACCAGACGATTGTACTCCTTGCTTTATTGTCAGCAAGGTCACTCACTCTACCCATGGATGCCTGAGCAGGAGGCCTTTGACCTCTCCCTGGATTGGAATAATCCTGAGACTATCACCAGCCCCCAACTGAATTGCTACAGCTTGGGCTGGGAGTCCAAAAGAACATGCCCAGAAAATGCTCCATACTTCTTACTCACAACACACGCCACATGACATGGCTAACCTGATGTGGAGGCCCTCCTCAGGGGTTAGCACCAAGAGGAATGTCAGTAAGAGCACCATGACATATGCAAGCTGCCAGTAAGTCCGCCAGAAATTTGATGAGGGAAAACCAACACTACCTTCCCAAATCCTAAATCTAAGTGTGAATCCCAATGTGGCCTGTGCCTTAACCCTTACACAGTGTCCTCCTCCTTTTCCCTGGGAGAAACAAGCCAGGTATCAGAAATGTTTCCACAGAAACAGTTTATGGCCAAAACTGCTTCGGCAGAAGAGGGAAACATTTCTCTCTTCACCACAAAGTATTAACACCATGCCAATCTCGCCAAAAGTCGGCTCTACCAAGAGGCCAGGATCACGAGTCAACAGAACTTTTCTTCCTTGTGTGATACTGACTTCTACCCAGTGCCTCTCACGAACGCCCATACCACCAAGGGACAGCTGCAACTGAAACCCAGAGCCTGGGAAGAACACCCATAGCTGGACACCTTGCCCAAAGATACTGCCTGGCAATCAAAAACATGTCCCAGATTTGACCTGGACATGATGCGCTCCTGACTGTTTCACTAAGGACACCAATGGCAGGACTGTAAAAACAAACATAAACCCAAAAGGGTCCTGGGGAACTGAAACATAGACACCTTCCCAGGATGGACCTCCCCACAGGTTTAACACAGATCCGTGGAATGTCATCCTCTTCCCTCTGGAAGAGGGAATACCATCCACATGACCGGATGATAGCCAGCCAACCATCTAACAACAACACCCCGTCAGCAACCAAGGGGGATTAGTGGCCCCCTTGCTTTGGAACTCTGAAAAAAAAAACCCTACTTGGAAGGCAAGTGCTTGCCAGTTCTACACTCAAATTCCACCTGCATGCACATGGACAATCTTCTCTTAGCCATCCCCACAAACTTCACGAGCCTCCCTGGGCCCCACAGTGACCCAACCCCACATGGGCAGACTCATAAATGCTACACACCAATCTCTGCACTGTGATGGGAAGTTGACAAAACCACAGCACCCAGCCTTCTCAACCTACAGAAGACATCGCTGGGTACTGCACTCAGGTGTCCCCATGCGCAGAGAACCCAAATGCATTCACCATCCTCCAGCACATCACCAGATGGGAAACCAGTGTGGATAGCCTGCTCATGACAGCCTGCCACTGGTACTGCCTGGTCACCCGAGAAACACTATCCCTCTTGTCTTACAGGGAAAGGAGCCAATAACTGCCCAGGCGTGACCTAGTGTTCTATTCCTGACCAGAACAAACTGTCTCTCATGGGGGAACAAGGAGCATGACCTCAAGAATCACCCTGGGCACAAAGAGGCAAGGGAAGATTCTCTCTTCCCTGCTGAATGCACACTTGCCAACCCCTCACCATGGGAAGGCGAGGGCTCACCTCTTGTCACCAACTCTACTCTATTCATCTTCCTGGGCTATGTCCTCAACTGAAAATAGCATAATATCCAGCCACTCCCCATTTCTCTGGCAGCACTGTCTCCCAAGCCCTGATAAACACAATGCTGGATGCCACATGAATAGCATGGAGGCCATCCCTCTCTATTTTTATCCCTCTCACTATCTCTTATTGTCTCTCTGCTATATCACGTGGGAAACATGAGCTGGACCTCAGTTTGATGAGGATAATGGTATAGAATCATTTTGTTCAGCTTTCCAAGGAAGCATATCTGGAATGTATCATCCCTCCATGCAGTTTTTGACCCTGGCCAAGAGGCAAATGCACCTGCTGAGGAACAGGCTCACTTACCTTCGAAAGAACTCCATCAGCACATGAAAAGCTGCACTATACAGGTGTCCATGAGCTTCCTCCCATTTCTGAGGACCCCAAAATCCAAAGGTCTCCCCTGATGACCACTGGCATTCCTCTGTTGCAACAGCATCTGTGATGTAAAGAGGGAACACATGTCCACTTGATGTAAAGAGGAACACTGTCTTTACACAACATGGACCACATTCGATGCCCAGAACGACTCCATGGTGCCACCCATGTGAACAGGTGGCGGTCATCCCTCCCTCCCTATTCCCTGGTAGAGCCACATGCAGGACCTCAGTTCGATGAGGACGATGGTATAGAGTTTTCACTCATTTTGTTCAGCTTCCCAAGGAATGTTTCTTTGGAGTCATCATCGATCCTTGCACGTTCTGCAGCCTGGAATATTAGAAAGTCATTGTGTTGGGAAAAGCCCCTTACCTTCACCATCACTTGATCACATTGTGACACTGCAGGTATTCAAGGGCTCCCTGATGTTTCCCATTAGTGCACATCAGTCACTTGGTTTCCACCTGGCCTTCTGCTGTGACTCGCCACCTGTCGGTGCAGAGGAAAACACATGACTACTTCAGAAGGGGGGCAGGTGTACACGTGCCAAGGGTCTTAGCATTTCCTCATCCACCCTTTAGGTATATCTCCTATCTGTCTCTATTTCCTTGGCTTCCCCCAGTTCATGTGAAGAGAAACACTGACAATTTTGTATCCATCTCCAGAGCACTGTCCCACAAAACACCACTGAGAGTTGAACTCCTTGAGTTGGTGTCAGCAAGGTCACTCAATCAGGCCCTGGATGCCTGAGCAGCTGAGCAGAAGACCTTTGACCTCCACCTGGATTGGAATAAGCCTGAGAATATCACCCCCCAACCCTAATGAATTGCTATGATTTGGACTGGAAGTCCAAAAGATTGTGCTCAGACAATGCCACATACTTCTTCCTCACAACGCACTCCATATGACATGGCTACACATATGTGTAGGCCAGGGGGCCAGCACCCAGAGAAATATGAGCAAGACACTGGGACATATGCAAGCTATCAGTAAGTCCATCAGAAACTTGATGAGGGAAAACCAAAACTACCTTCCCAATTCCTAACCCTGAGCACAAATCCCTATGTGGCCTGTGCCTTAACCCTTACACAGTGTCCTTCCACCACATCCAGGGGGAAACAAGTCAGGTCTCAGAAATGTTTCAATGGAAACAGGTTATGGCTGAAACTGCTTCGGGAGAAGAGGGAAATGTGTCCCTGTTCACCACAAAGTATTAACACCATGCCAATCTTGCCAAAATTCTGGTCTTCCAAGAAGTTTGGATCATGAGTCAACAGAACTTAGTTTTATTCCTTGTGTGATACTTGCCTCCACTCAATGCCTCTTATGAATGCCCCTACCACCAAGTACCACCTCCTACTGAAACCCACAGCATGGGAAGAACACCCATAGCTGGCGACCTTACCCACAGATGCAGTCTGGCGATCAAAAACACATACTGGATTTGACCTGGGCACATGTGATCCACTCCTGACTGTTTCACCAAGGATACCAACGGCAGGAATATGAAAACAAATGTAACCCGAAGAGGGCCTTCCATAAGCAAGCCCCCCATGCTCAAGCATGCTAGTTTAGTCTCATGTGTTCCCCAAGGAATGTGGCTCTAAGATGGATTCTCCTAATTTTGGGAACATGCTAAGGCCTGCTTTAAAACAGGAAGTTACATGTTCACAAATAGGAATGTGCCAGAGGGTCTCACTGGGTTGTAGTTGCAGATAATACTTGCTAAAGCACTGGGCTGCTATATCCTGTTCTTCTCCCACACTTACACAACAGCAGTTAGTTATAGCTTGAGGAAATGGGCAAACAATAGCAGACATCCTCACGCTTTTGTGGTTAAGACTGAAGTAAAAATGCTTTTTTGAACTGTGTATGTGCTCAGCAGCAGTTTGTGCTGAAGTGGAGTTTTTAATGGCAGTTTTAACATTTCACCTTGTTTCACTTCTTTTTGCTATTTTTAACTTCTATTGAATAAGTTTATAAGGGGCCTAATAAACTTGGGTATTTGCTCAGTGCCTGATTGAGCCTCAGTCTGCCCTTTTCAATCCAATTATTTTGTCAACAGTGGCTTTTCTCTACATCACCAAGCAAGTGGTTTCATGGAACATCTTCAGCCCTGGGGAAATGAAACATGGACACGTACCCAGGACGGGTCTCTCAATAGGTTTCAACAGATCCATGGAATATCATCCTCCTCCCACAGGAATAGCATCCATGTGTATGGATGATAGGAAGCCAGTCACCTAACAACACTGCCCGCCTCAGGAATAAACAGGATTAGTGGCCCCCTTGCTTTGGGACTCTAAAAAACACAACCTTACTGGCAAGGCAAGTGTTTGCCAGTTCTACACTCAAATTCCGTCTGCATGCACATGGACACAGCATCTCTTGGATAGCCCCACAAAGACTGCAAGGCTCCCTGGTCCCCTCCACAACCCAATGCCATACAGGAAGACTCAGTGTTGCTACAGACCAAACTCCACAGTGTAGTGGGAAGTTGGCACACCCACAGTATGCACCCTTTCCAACCTGCACTGGACTTGGGTATCCCCATTCTCTGGGAATCCAAGTATGGTCACCATCCCCTGGCACCTCAACAGACAGGAAACCAGTGTGGATAGACTGCTAGTGACAGCCTGCAACTGGTACTACTTAGTCACCTGAGAAACACTATTCCTCCTGCCCTATAGGGAAATGAGCCAATAATTGCCCAGGCATGGAATAGTGTTATACTCCTGACCAGAACAAACTGTCTCCCATAGGGTAGCAAGAAGCATGACTTTAAGAACCACCTTAGGCTCAAAGAGACAAGGTAAGATTCACTCTTCCTGTGCTGAATTCACACTCACTAACCCCTCAACATGGGAGGGCCTGGGCTAAATTCCTGTCACCAACTTTACTCTTCCTTTTGGGCCATGTCCTCAACTGGAAAGGGTGAAATACCCAGTGACTCCCCATTGCTCTGGCACCACCACGTCCCCAGACCTGATAAACGCAATGCTAGAAGCCACATGAATGAATGGAAGCCAGCCCTTTCTACTTCTATCCCTCTCACTCTCTCTCTCTCTGTTTCTATTTCTGCTATATCATGTTTGAAACACACGCAGGACCTCAGTTCAGTGAGGACGATGGTATAGAGTTGTCACTCATTTTTTTCAGTTTTCCAAGAAAGCATATCTAGAAGGCATCATCCATCCATACACTTTTTGCTCCTCACAAAGAGGCAAAAGTGCCTATTGAGGAACAGGCTCGCTTATTTCACAAAAACTCCTACACGAAAGGCCCCACAACACAGCTGTCTGTGAGTTTCTTCCCATATCCAGGGACCCCACGATCCAAAGGGATCCCCTCAGGACCACTGGCATAGCTCCGTTGCAATAGCATCTGCAATGTAAAGAGGGAACAAATGTCTACTTGAGAACATCAGACAGGAACACAGGTCAAAAGTATAGGGACATTCAAGCCCCTGATCTAAAACCTCCCTCAGAACATTTTCCAGCTCCATCCATCCATAGCAAAGTATCACAAGAATAAAAGAAAAAGTATTCAATGTACACAGCCCTATTATGAAACTAATTTATAGCTTTCATATGAAAGCTATAACCTAATTATAGCCTAAGAATATGGGGAGGGGAGGGGGGCGGATGGGTGGAGGGAGGGTGATTGGTGGGATCACCTCTGGTTTATCTTACAAGGGTACAAGTGAATCTTTCTAAAAGAAGAGAAACGTCTTGGGTGGCTCCTGTGGCTCAAAGGAGTAGGGCACCAGCCCCATATGCTGGAGGTGGTGGGTTCAAACCCAGCCAGCCCCAGCCAAAAACTGCAAAAAAACAAACTGAATACTATTAAACAGAATAAAAAAAAAGAATATAAACATCTTAACACAATAACTAAGAAAATGACATAAAGGCTATGTTAACCAGTTTGATGAAAATATTTCAAATTGGGCTTGGCGCCTATAGCTCAACAGGCTAAGGCGCCAGCCATGTACACCTAAGGTGGCGGGTTCGAATCCCCAGCCCGGACCCGCCAAACAACAATGATGGCTGCAACCAAAAACAAAAAAAAATTTCAAATTGTATATGAAAACACCACACTGTATGCCATGATTACATTAATGTACATATATATCATTTAATAAAAAAATAAAAAATAATATAAAATACAAAAATAGAACCTCCCTCAGAGCTTCCGGAACTTCCCCATCTCCTGTGGACACCTGCACGGAAGTGCATGGGGCAGTAGCTCCCTGTCACATACCAACAGGGCATGCATAAGAACTTTCAACAGCATGACCAAGGAAAAATCTTCTTGGCACATAGAGGTTGTCACTCCTTATGCAACACCCTCCTCTGACCCATTGCAAGACAAAAACTCAGTGGGATTATTGTACAGAAATAGTTTCAAAGAGAACCTCCCCCCATCGGCGTACAAGTGATCTTTTCTAGAACTAGAATGTAAATGTTTTGACACAATGACTATGCAAATGACATGAAATATATGTGAACCAGCTTGATGAAAGTATTTCAAAATGTATATGAAAACACTACACTGTACCCCATGTTTGCATTACTGTAATAATAAAAAAAGAAAAGAAAAGAAAAACACATGCAATGTCTAAGAATAACAATACAAATGCTGCCATGAACATTATGATTTAAACATTAAACATGATATTAAAAAAAAAAAAAAGAAAAGAAAACCTCCCCCCTTCCTCCACACAATGGCTCATTTCCTGTGGGCCTAGAAGCATTGGGAAGGGTGGTACCATGCCATATTGATCCCACAGGAGCAATGCTGAAGCACAAATCTACTGCATTCCTCACAGGGGAAACTCAGCATCCCACAAAGAAGCACTCATGCTCAAACTGATAGGGCTTCTCCACCTAACGGCCCAGAACATGCTCCTCCCTCAGGACTGGATTCTGCATCCCACCACCACTTTGGAGTCCAGAGTGGATAGAGGGGCACCTCTATCCTACCATGCACCGGCAGTTCTGTCACACAGAAGAACAGCAGAACTAACTGGAAAATGTCCCCCTTGAAGGAAGAAGGGAGGTCTGTCCACATAGAGACCTAGCAGGTCTACGCCCGTGAAGATATCGCGTGGTCACCTGACGTCTTAAACTCTCCTAGACAACAACAGCCCTGAGCAGTGCATGCTCTAGGAAGGCAGAAGCCCCAGAAATCAAAACATGATCCCCTCAAGATCCAATTGAAAAAGGAAATAAGAATCACTGGCCTACAACGAACCTAACCTTGGCAGAGAGCACTTCTGGACGTAGGCTAAGACTGCATTGCTGCCAGCAGAGAAAATTAGTAGTCAGGGTCTGGTAGGTGTTCCTTCAGGAAACCAAGGCAATGCAGGAAACTTAACCTCCACCGCTGACAGGGTATAACATTTCCACCTGTGCACCCTTGCTCTGACACGGCCTGCCCTACTATATGGTAACATCCAATGTCAGGCTACCCACTCTGCCAGGACATAGTCCTAAAACCAGTCCGTCCCATCACATGGGTGCTGCCAAATGCACTGAAGATTGCCTAGCCAAACATGGACCATAGGTGCCTTCCACATAAATAGGCAGAGGTCATCCCACCCTCTCTACTCCCTGGTGGAACCACATGATGAACCTCAGTTCGATGAGAATGATGGTATAGAGTTTTCACTCAGGTATTGAAGGGCTCCCTGATGTTTCCCATTAGTACACATCAGTCACTTGGTTTCCACCTGGTCTTCTTCTCTGACTCGTCACATGTTGGAGCAGAGGAAACACATGATTATTTCAGAACAGGGACAGGTGCACACATCCCAAGGTCCTTAGCATTTGTGAACTCAGTCTTTAGGTATATCTCCTATCTATTTCTATTTCCTTGGCTTGTCCCAGTTCATGCGAGAAGAAACATGCACAGTGATGTTATGCATATAAGCTGATACCCATCTCCAGTGATTTGTCCAACAAAACACCACTAAGTCTTGAACTCCTTGATTGGTGTCAGCAAGGTCACTCAGTCTAGCTCTGGGATGCCTGAGTAGCTGAGCAAGAGGTCTTTGACCTCCAGTTGTACAAGAATAAACCCGAGAGGATCACCACACCCCAACTAAATCGAACCCGTTGAGCTGTAATTCCAAAAGAGCATGCCCAGACAATGACTCATACTTCTTTCTAACAACGCACTCCATGTAACACGGCTACCCTGATGTGGAGGCCCTCCTCAGGGGGTAGCACCCAGAGGAATAAGAGCAAGACCACCATAACACATGCAAGCTGTCAGTACGTCGGGCAGGAACTTGATGAGGGAAAACCAACACTAACTTTCCAAATCCTAAACCAGAGCGTGAATCCCAATGTGGCCTGTGCCTTAACCCTTACACAGTGTCCTCCCCCACGTTCCCTGGGGGGAAACAGGCCAGGTCTCAGAAATGTTTCCATGAAAACAGGATATGGCTTAAACTGCTTCGGCAGAAGATAGAGATGTGTCCCTCCTCACCACAAAGTATTAACACCATACCAGTATCGCCAAAAGTCTGCTCTACCAAGAGGTCGGGATCACGAGTCAACAGAACTTACTTTCCTTCCTCGTGTGATACTTGCCTCCACCAAGTGCCCCTCAGGAACGCACATACCACCAAGGGTCACCTCCAGCTGAAACCCACAGCCTGGGAAGAACACCTATAGCTGGCGACCTTGCCCACAGATGCAGTCTGGTGATCAAAAACATATCCAGATTTGACCTGGGCATGTGTCATCCGCTCCCAACTGTTTCACCAAGGACACCACCAGCAGGAATGTGAAAACAAACGTACCCCAAGAGGGTCCTGGGGAACTGAATCGTGGATGCCTTCCCAGGACGGGCCTCCCACAGGTTTCACACAGATCCATGAAATGTCATCCTCCTCCCAACGGAATAGCATCCACGTGTATGGATGACAGGCAGCCAGCCACCTAACAACAACCTCCCCTCAGGAACCAATGGGATTAGTAGCCCCCTTGCTTTGGGCCTCTAAGAAACACAACCGTACTTGGAAGGCACGTGTTTGCCAGTTGTACCCTCAAATTCCACTTACACGCACGTGGACACAGCATCTCTTGGCCATCCCCACAAACATCATGAGCCTCGCTGGGCCCCACCACGACCCAACCCATACGGGCGGACTCGGTATTGCTAGGCACCAAACTCCACAGTGGGCTGGCAAGCTGACACACCCACAGCATGCACCCTTCCCAACCTGCACGAGACATCGCTGGGTACTGGACTCGGGTGTCCCTGTGCGCCCGAAAACCAAATGCATTCAACTTTTCCCGGTACCTCCCCAGACAGGAACCAGTGGGGATAGCCTGCTCGTGACAGCCTGCCACTGGCACTGCCCAGTCATCCAAAAAAACACCACCACCACCACCACCACCCTCCTAGGAAATGAGCAATGAGCCAGTGACTGCCCAGGCATGGCATAGTGTTCTATTCCTGAACAGAACAAACTGTCTCCCATGGGGGAGCAAGGAGCATGACCTCAAGAACCACCCTGGGATCAAAGAGTCAAGGTAAGATTCACGCTTCCTGTGCAGAATGCACACTCGCTAAGCCCACACCAGGGGAGGGCCAGGGCTCCCCTCCTGTCACCGACTCTACTCTTCCTTTTGGGCCATGTCTTCAAATGGAACTGGCGAACTACCCAGTGACTCCCCATAGCTCTGGCAGCACCGTGTGCCAAGCCCTGATGAACACGATGCTGGAAGCCAGATGAATGCATGGAAGACATCCCTCTCTATTTCTACCCCTCGCTCTCATATTATGTCTCTGCTATATCACGTTGGAAACACGTGCTGGACCTCAGCTAGATGAAGACAATGGTATAGTGTTGTCACTCATTTTGTTCAGCTTTCCAGGGAACCATATCTGGAAGGCATCATCCCTCCATGCAGTTCTTGGCCCTGGCCAAGAGGCAAATGCGCCTGCTGAGAAACAGGCTCACTTACCATCCCAAGAACCCCAACAGCACACAAAAGGCCTCACAACACAGATGTCCGTGAGCTTCTTCCCATTTCCGAACACCCCACGATCCAAAGGTCTCCCCTGAGGACCACTGGCATTCCTCCACTGCAACAGCATCTGTGATGTAAAGAGGGAACACATGTCCACTTGATGTAAAGAGGGAACATTGCCTTCACACAACGGACCACATTCAATGCCCAGAGCGACCCCATGGTGCCACCCACGTGAACAGGCGGAGGTCATCCCTCCCTCTCTATTCCCTGGTCGAGCCACGTGCAGGACCTCAGTTCGATGAGGACGACGGTATAGAGTTTTCACTCATTTTGTTCAGCTTTCCAAGGAATGTTTCTTGGCAGTCATCATCGATCCATGCACGTTCTGTGGCCTAGAATGTTAGGAAAGTTACTGTGTAGGGAAAAGAGTCCCTTACTTTCACGATTGCTGGTTCACTTTGCCATGCTGCAGGTGTTCATGGGCTTCCTAGTGTTTCCCGTTAGCAGACATCAGCCACTTGGTTTTCACCTGGTCTTTGGTGTTTCTGCTGTGTCACACCACCTTCTGGACAGACCCAAACACACAAGTACTTCAGAATGGTGGAAAGTGCATATGTCCCAAGAGCCTTATGTTTTGCTCACCCACCCTTTAGGTATATCTCCTATCTATCTCTAATTCCTTGGGTCCCCCCCATTCAAATGTGGAGAAACATGTGCACACTGGCCTGATGCATATCAGCTTCCTACCTATCTCTAGCAATTTGTCCCACAAAATACCACTGAGGCATGGACTCCTTGCATCGGTGTCAGCAAGGTCACTCAATTTACCCCTGCATGCTTGAACAGGTGAGCAGGAAGGCCTTTGACCTCCAAGTGGATTGGAGTTAGCCCGAGATTATCACCACCCCCCAACCAAATCACTAAACCTTTGGCTTGAAGTCCAAAAGACCATGCTCAGAGAATGCCCCATACTTCCTGCTCACAATGCAGTCCACATGACATAGATGTGAGGCTCTCCTCAGGGGCTGGCACCCGGAGGAATATGAGCAAGACCACCGTGACCTATGCAACCTATCATTAAGTCTACCATCAACTTGATGAAGAAGAACCAATGCTATCTTTCTAATTCCTACCTCTGAGAGCAAATCCCTATATGGCCTATGCCTTAACCCTTATACAGTGTCCTCTCCCCTTCCCAGGGTAGAAACAAGCCACGTCTTGGAAATGCTGCAGTGGAAACAGGTTATGGCTGAAACTGCTTCAGGAGAAGAGGGAAATTTGTCCTTCCTCACTACAAAGAATTAACACCACTCCAATCTCACCAAAAGTCTCCTCTGCCAAGAGGTTGGGATCACGAGTCAACAGAACTTACTTTTCTTCCTCATGTGATACTTGCCTCCACCCAGTGACCCTCATGAATGCCCATACCACCAAGGGCCACCTCCAACTGAAAACCACAGCCTGGGAAGAGCACCTATTGCTGCTGACCTTGCCCACAGATACAGGCTGGTTATCAAATACATGTTCCTTCGATTCCCCCAGTTCATGTGAGTAGAAACATATGTATACTGGCCTTACATGTTTGAGCTTTGTCCTAACATGTAGTGGTGGTTCTGTCACACAGAAGATGAAGAGGACTGGTTGGAAAAATACCCCTCAGAAGGAAGAAGGGAAGTTCGTCTCCAAGGCATTGTGCCGTAAAACACTACTGAAACTTTTAATCCTTGCTTCAGTGTTAGCAAGGTCACACAATATAGCGCTGGATGCCTGCAGAGCTGAGTAGGATGCCTTTGACCTCTGCCTAGATTAGAATAAGCCCAGGACTATCACCACCTTCCATCTGAATCGCTACGGCTTGGGCTGGCACTACAGCAAACCTGTCCCAGACAATATACCATATTTCTAGTTCACAACACACTCTATGTGACATTGCTACCCAGATGTGGGGGATCTTCTCAAGGGCCAGCATGTGGAAGAAAATCAGCAAGACCACCATGACTTATCCGTGACTTATGCAAGCTGTCAGTAAGTCCACCAACAACTTGATGAGGGAAAACCAAAAGTACCTTCCCAATTCCTAACCCTGAGCACCAATCCCAATGTGGCCTATGCCTTAACCCTTACACAGTGTCCTCCTCCTTTCTTGGGGGGAAACAAGCCAGGTCTCAGAAATGTTTCCATGGAAACAGGTTATGGGTGTAACTAATTCGGCAGTAGACAGAAATGTGTCCCTCTTTACCACAAAGTATTAACACCACCCCAATCTCACCAAAAGTCTGCTCTACCAAGAGGTGGGGAACACAATCAACAGAACTTAGTTTTCTTACTCATGTGATATTGCCTCCACCCAGTGCTCCTCACGAATGCCCATACCACGAATGGCCACCTCCAACTGAAACCCAGAGCCTGGGTAGAACACCCATTGCTGCCAACCTTGCCCACAGATGCAGCCTGGCAATCAAAAATATGTCCCAGATTTGACCTGGGCACATGTGATTCACTTCCAACTATCTCACCAAGGACAGCAATGGCAAGAACGTGAATACAAAGGTAATCCCAACAGCGTCCTGGCAAACTAAAACACGGACACTTTTCCAGGATGGGCCTCCCCACAGGTTTCACACAGATCCATGGAATGCCATCCTCCTCCCACTGCAAAAGCATCCACGTGTATGGATGACAGCCGGCCAGCCACCTAACAACACTACCACCTCAGCAACCAATGGGATTAGTGGCCCCCTTGCTTTGGGACTCTAAAAAACAACTCTATTTGGAAAGCAAGTGTTTGCCAGTTCTACGCACTAATTCCTCCTGCACACACATGGACACAGCATGTCTTGGACATCCCCACAAACTTCATGTGCCTTCCTGGGCCCCACCATGACCCAACCCCACACGGCAGACTCAGTAATGCTACACACCAGTCTCCACAGTATGGTGGGAAGTGGACACACCTACAGCACCCACCCTTCACAAACTATATGAGATATTGCTGGGTACTGGATTCAGGTGTTCCTGTCATCTGAGAAACCAAATGTGTTCACCATCCTCTGACACCTCACTGGACAGGAAACTAGTGGATAGCCTGCTCATGACAGCCTGCCACTAGTATTACTCAGTCACCCGAGAAACACTATCCCTCCTGGTTCTACAGGGAAATGAGCCAATGACTGCACAGGCATGGCATAGTGTTCTATTCCTGACCAGAACAAACTGTCTCCCATGGGGGAGCAAGGAGCATGACCTCAAGAACCACCCTGGGATCAAAGAGGCAAGTTAAGATTTACTTTTCCCTTGCGGAATGCATACTTGCTAAGGCCACACCAGGGGAGGGCCAGGGCTCACCTCCTGTCACCAACTCTGCTCCTCCTTCTGGACCATGTCCTCAACTGGAAATGGCGAACTATCCAGTGACTCTCCATTGCTCTGGCAGCACCATGTCCCAAGGCCTGATAAATACAAGTTTGGAAGCCACGTGAACATATGGAAGCCGACCCTCTCTCTTTCTATACCTTTCTCCCCCCCCTTCTCTCTCTCTCTTTCTGTCTCTGCCATATCATGTTGGAAACATGTGCTGGACCTCAGTTCGATGAGGACGACGGTATAGAGTTGTCACTCATTTTGTTCAGCTTTCCAAGGAATGCATATCTGGAAGTCATCATCGATCCATGCACAGTTTATGCCCCTGACCAAGAGGCAAATAGGCCTGCTCAGGAACAGTCACACTTACCTTCCCTAAAATTCCAATAGCACACAAAAGGCCCCATGACACAGCTGTCCATGAGCTTCTTCCAATGTCCAGGGACCCCATGATCTGAAGGTCTCCCCTGAAGACCACTGGCATTCCTCCACTGCAACAGTGTCTGTGATGTAAAGAAGGAACAAATGTCTGCTTGAGAACATCAGATAGGAACACAGGGCCAAAGGGTAGGGACATTCAAGCCCCTGCACTAAAACTTCCCTCAGGGCTTCCTAAATTTCCCCATCTCCAGCGGATATCTGAACGGGAGTGTATGGGGCAGCAGCTCCTTGTCACATGCCAACAGGACCTACATGAGCACTTTCAAGAGCATAACCAGGGAAAAATCTTCTTGGCACATGGTAGTTGTCACTCCTTACTCTGCTGTCCATCCTGCCAGAATAAATAGCTGCCCTGGAATTTGTGTGATCATGGTGCACATGTGAGCCAAACATGGACACTCTGACCCATTGCAAGAGAAAACCTCAAGTGAGATTGTTACACAGAAATAATTTCAAGGAAAACCTCATCCCTCCACCACAATTGCTGATTTCCTGTGGGCCTAGAAGCATTTGGCAGGGAGATACCATGCCATATTGATCCCACAAGAGCAATGCTAAAGCACAACTCTACTGCACCATCAGTGCCTTCCTCACAGGGGAAACTCAGCAACCAATGGAAAAGGCACATAGACTCAAACAGACTGCACTTCTCTACCTAAAGGCCCAGAATACAGTCTGGCTTTGGGTCTGGACGCTGCATCCCATCACCACCTTGGAGTGATCCATCCCTGGCAGTTCCATCCTATAACGTAGTGGTGGCTCTGTCATACAGACAAGTATCAGGATCAATTGGTGAAAGACCCCTTTGGAAAGAAGATGCCCATGAAGATGTCACATGTACACCTGACGTGGTAAACTCTCCTGGACCACAACTGCCCTGAGCTGTGTATGCTCTAGGAAGGCAGTGGCCCCAGAAATCAAAACATGATCCCCTTAAAATCTCATAGAAAAATGAAGCAAGAATCCCACAATGTACCTGATCTTGGCTGGGAGCAATTCTGGGCCTACATTAAGACTGTATGTGCCGCCAGAAGAGAAAATTAGTAGTTAGGGTCTGGCAGGGGACCTTTAAGAAACTAAGGCAGTTTGGGGAACTTCACCTCCCCCATGGACAGGGTATCACATTTCCA